TACCTTATATTCGAGTTACTTTTTACAAACAAAAAAAAAATAAAAAATTCAACGCTTCTATGTTATAACTTACAATATACATATAATAAAAATTGTTCTCATAATAAATCGATTTAACAATGCTCTTTTGTAGTGTTAAACATTTAGATACCTACCTATTATGTTATGAAATAATAAAGATAGTATTTCTACAGCATATTCACCTGTATGCAGAGACGGATTTACACAATTGCCGCCCCTAGGCAAATTTTTTTTGCCGCCCCATTAAACTTATCAACGAGAAAACGTATTTTTAAATACTTGTTTAACATAAGTACAAAAAAAATAAACCATAAAGACTGATACTAAACAATAATTAATGGCAGTTATGTTAATAAACTGTCTAATAAAATGTGTTTATAAAATATAGTGTTTACTTACCAGTAATTTAAGTAGTATACTAATAACCGAATATGAAGTCTATCCGCCTTGGATGTTGTGTTGAAAATAATCGAATGTCTAATCAGAATAAACCTATTTTTTACTCGGTCGCTCTCTATTTCATAGTCCCGAAGAAAAATAAACAATTTTATTATTACATAATTTTATCTTTTGGATAGAAAAAGTTTTATTTTTGTACACATAATGCATAGTACGTACTAGTAGGTTATTATATAAAAATATTCACAGTGACTGGTTTATAATTAGACTATCGTTCCAATACGTATCGATCGTCACCCGTATTCGTATTAAATATATGGATATATGTATGTATTGTGCGTGTAGTGTGTACACCGTGCGTTCAAACGAACCACGAGCGATTATTAATAATTATTACGACTTAGCAAAAAAACAAATTAACGAAATATGTTATCCATGTTTAGTATTTAGATAATAAATCTACGTTCCGGCAGTCGTTCGATAATTTACTTGGGTCTTGGACGTTTATTGTTATGTATTATAAAATAAAGAAGAAATTATATTAACAAGAATATTATTATACTTAAATATTAAACATTTTTTTTCCATCCTTCAGAGTAATCACGGTACATTAGAAAATCAAAAAGAAACTTAGAGTATTCTCAATAAAATATTGCCCTAAAATTGCCGCCCCTAAAAATTTGCCGCCCTAGGCAACTGCCTACTTTGCCTGACGCTAAATCCGCCACTGCCTGTATGGGTATAATAGATGGTACATTGGTACAAGCGACATTGTAATAAATAATTATAGGGATTTGTGATAGGTATCCAATTTAGTATTTATATACATAATTTATTTATATATTTATTATAAATTTATAATAATTTTTCATTGTATATTCTAAAATATCGTTATACTTTTTTACAGTCGTTGTAAATATATTGTCACCCCCTAACATAATCCACCCACAAACACCACTAAAAATACTGCTCTGGTCTCTACACCATAAAACGAAACTACAGATCAAATTTCATACATAGCTTCAGCGGTTAAAATTAGGCATTATCCGACATTATTACTAGATTATATTTAATTTATGTTCAGTAGGGTTGCATAAACAAAGAAAAAACCTGAATCAATAGTGAGCTTCAAATGGACCCTGCTTAAATATACTTAAATAGCATATTATATTTATGATAATTGAGTAAAATTTTATTCAATACGAAAAAAAAAAATTTTATGCTAATGGTAAATAGGGGAAGTGTAGGTTAGGTAACATTGTGGTTTAAATTTGTATGATGTCATAAATTAATTACATTTTTTTAGAAAATCATAATAAAAATACATGGTGTAAAAATTTAACAAATTTAAAATATTATATATATTGAATCCAAAATGGTTTTATGTATTCAATCATTTATGTTTACAAATCCCAGAGAATATAATGCACTTTTTGTTCTAATGACAATAATAATACAAATATTAACAATCAGAGTAGTATTCTTTAAATTGATTTGCTTTTAAAAAGTAAATTTTAGAAAATCATAATGACTTTACAACCTGGTGTAAAAATGTAACAAATTTAAAATATTAAATATATTGTATCCAAAATGGTTTTATTTATTCAATCATTTATGTTAACAAATCACAGAGAATGTGATGCACTTTTTGTTCTAATGATAATTATAATATAAATATTAATAATCAAAGTATTATTCTTTAAATTAATTCGCATATAAGATAATACATTTTTTTTAGAAAATCATATTAACTTTACAACCTGGTGTAAGAATGTAACAAATTTAAAATATTAAATATATTGTATACAAAATGGTTTTATTTATTCAATCATTTATGTTAACAAATCACAGAAAATGTTATGCACTTTTTGTTCTAATGATAATTAAAATATAAATATTAACAATCAAAGTAATATTCTTTAATGTAACTTGCTTTTAAATAGTAAATTTTTAGAAAATCATAATATCTTTACAACCTGGTGTAAGAATCTAACAAATTTAAATTATTAAATATATTGTATCCAAAATGGTTTTATGTATTCAATCATTTATGTTTACAAATCACAGAGAATATAATGCACTTTTTGTTCTAATGACAATAATAATATAAATATTAACAATCAGAGTGGTATTCTTTAAATTAATTTGCATATAAGATAATACATTTTTTTAAGAAAATCATAATAACATTACAAAATGGTGAAAAAATTTAACAATTTTAAAATATTAAATATATTGTATCCAAAATGGTTTTATTTATTCAATCATTTATGTTATTTAATCTAAGAGAATGTAATGCACTTTTTGGTTTAATTATAATTATTGTAGGTATAAATATTAACAATAAAAGTAATATTCTTTAAATTAAATTGCTTTTAAATAGTAAATTTTTAGAAAATCATAATATCTCTACAACCTGGTGTAAAAATGTAACAATTTTAAAATATTAAATATATTGTATCCAAAATGGTGTTATGTATTCAATCATTTATGTTAATAAATGTAAGAGAATGTTATGCACTTTTTGTTCTAATGATAATTATAGTATAAATATTAACAATAAAAGTCCTATTCTTTAAATAAATTTGCATATAACAGAATACATGTTTATAGAAAATTATAATAGCTTTACAATCTGGTGTAAATATGTAACAAATTGAAAATATTAAATATATTGTATCCAAAATGGTTTTATTTATTCAATCATTTATGTTATTAAATCTAAGAGAATGTTATGCACTTTTTGTTCTAATGATAATTATAATATAAATATTAACAATTAAAGTAATATTCTTTAAATTAAATTGCTTTTAAATAGTAAATTTTTAGAAAATCATAATATCTCTACAACCTGGTGTAAAAATGTAACAATTTAAAAATATTAAATATATTGTATTTATAAAGGTTTTATGTATTAGTCAATTATGTTAATAAATCATAGAGAATGTAATGCATTTTTTGTTCTAATGATAATTTTTATATAAATATGAACAATCAAAGTATTATTCTTTAAATTAATTCGCATATAAGATAATACATTTTTTTTAGAAAATCATATTAACTTTACAACCTGGTGTAAGAATGTAACAAATTTAAATTATTAAATATATTGTATCCAAAATGGTTTTATGTATTCAATCCTTTATGTTAATAAATCTAAGAGAATGTTATGCACTTTTTGTTCTAATGATAATTAAAATATACATATTAACAATCAAAGTAATATTCTTTAAATTAATTTGCTTTTAAATAGTAAATTTTTAGAAAATCGTAATATCTTTACAACCTGGTGTAAAAATGTAACAATTTTAAAATATTTATTATATTGTATCTAAAATGGTTTTTTTATTCAATAATTTATTTTAATAAATTACAGAGAATGTCAATAAATAGTGCATTTGTTTCCTCTCCGGACAACTCACAAAATAATTTTGAAGTCTAAATGAGCGATGAATGTATTGATTTTACAATGATGATAACTTCAATAATAATTAAATATAAAACGGATATGTTATACCCAGAATAATATTATCCACTATTATTTTAAAATGTGTGAGTTTATTCTATGATAATTGATAACTCAAAAACTATAAAAGAGAAATACAAATTTACATAAATGTGTTTATTTGTAGGGTGTAGGCTTGTGAAAAAACAAACATTGCAATGACATCCTCTTAAATGTATATATTTACTGTTAACTAAATTACTAATTTTGGATTTTCATTGAGTGTTTTTTATTTTCTTTGATTAATATATAAAATATGATCACACCAATAGACATTTGGTATATTAACTAATTCATTAAAAAGCCAAAAATACCATACAAGTATAATTACACATACATTTAATAATTGTATATTAAACTTATAGATGTTTGTATCATGAAAGAAGTTTGATTTGAATATATATACTATTTGTACATTTATTTAATCATTTATATAACGGGCAGTAGGCCTAATGCCCAAAGGTGCAATTGCATTTTACATATAATTGAAAAATACAATATATGACAACAGAAAATAATTAAAATTAATAGTTTATATAACTTAAATATTACAATATTTTGAATATATAATGTAATTAATAATTAACAAGACATATATTAAATATTTACCATGAACCAGTAAATATTATATCACTTATCCTACAACAATTTAATATTATTCCCTATTACATATTCAATTATTTTTGGTATTCAAATTCTAGCTGATATTAAGAAGTAAAAACCTTAATAATTAAATCTTATTTATATATGTGTATGTATTAACATTAGATTGTGCTAAGACAATTAAATAATATCATGAACTGGATATTTTCATTTTATTTTCAACTTATTTGTAATTAAAAATATATTTAGAGCACAAAATAATATTTATATTTATGTGTTATATTTCATGTTTTTATTTTTTATTCTAAAATCGCAGACTAATTTTGGAAATTATAATTACTAATTCATAGTATGAAATATGAATGCATAATTTAAATTAATTAAATATTAATTATACCTACAATATTATATTATATAAAGGAATTAAAATGTATTCAAGATTTTAAATGTTAATAGCCAAAATAAAAGGAAACTAATTATTGTCGTTTGAAAAAATTGGATATGCATTATTCATCCAGTTTGTATGCCAATCTACTGCCCGGAAATTATCAATTTCTTTACAAAATCTACTTTGTTTTTCGCAGATCTCTGAAGGGAAGTTTTTAAACCATGTCATAATGTGCAATGCAAGCTGATTTTCATTTGAGAATACAAGACCATTTTCATTGTGTCGAACCAATTCATTTAAGCTAAAACAAATAAATGTTTCTTAAAATCTTAAAAAAAATGTATTAAATTAATTACAGCAAAACTAGAATTTTGTATCTATTAAATAATTATTACCATTTGAAATCATATGCACAGACAGGTAAGCCAACACCGTACATATCGATCACTTTCATGGGCAAGTCTAACCCGCTCGAGGAGGCATGTAAGCACACACCAAGATCAGCACACGCTGAAATTATTCAATAAATATATTATAAAAAAAATAATTTATCTTATTTAAATAATCCTGTAATTTTACCTAAAAGAAGTGGATAGTCATTATTTTCAAGCCAAGGTGTAATGATTGAAACTTTTTTCCACTTCAATTTTAAAATCTTATGTTGATAGTGATACTTTAATGGGCCTCGCCCAGTGATAACACAAATGAGTTTTGGGTAGATATCATCACTTTCATCGTATTCTGAAACAATAAATGTACATTATATTGTGGTGACCAAGTTATCTCTTAAAATAAATATAGATTGAAACATACACATAACAAAATATTCTTCAACAATTAACCAGAATCACTTCCATAGTAAAAAATAAAGTTAAGAATAACAAATACATTTAAAAATAGTGATCAATTCAATTGATAAATCAGAAATATATGTAGGTAATTGTGTGTATACTTTGTAGAGCTTTCAAAAGAATCGAAAAATCTTCATCTGGGGTCCAGCTAGTACTGGACACAAGTAGACTAGGCCGGTTGGGTTTTAATTGCACCTCTCCAGATTCTGATAGCTTAGTGAAATCATTTAAATTCATTTTTTCTAGTAAATTATGTTTTTGAGATAATGTGATGGTTTTAAACTGTGGTCCTGGGCGATCATACAAGGTCGTAGCTCTAAAATAGGTACACAACATAGATATTTTGTTGACAGTTAAAAAAAAATGTTATTACAGATAAAAACTTACTTGATGTTCCATTTTTTATTCAGGTCTTCTTTCATTGCTTTGGTAACACATAGATTAAAATCAGCCAGTCTGCCAAAAGTACGTTCATAGAATAAGGAGACTTTTACCAGAGGTGCATTGGAACCCAAAGTCAGGGCAAGTATTGAGTATGCATAATTATGCCAGTCGATTATAAATTTTGCATTGACGAGTAGACAGTAAAACCAACAAACAGCAAGTGTAGGAATCGCAGGTGGATTTTGAACTAGAACGATATCAGATTTGCGTTTCACCAATATGGCCCAAAACAATGTCAGTGTTTGCCATACAACTTTGAACAGGAATGCTATCATCCTTGGAACATCTGTGGAATAAAAACAGAACATTAATGGCGTCGCCAATAAAATGTGACTGACACCAAAATAAGTTACTATAGTCTATGAACATGCGAAGGGTGAGGTGGTAAACGACGATAGACGTGGTCAAGTTTCATCAATTGTTCGCAAGAGAAGTTAACAACCGATCGCCTATCGAAAATCTTACTATTTATACCAGTATGGGGCGAGCACCAAACGACATCGATTAAATTTTGGACGTATATACTCACATTCATCGAACGGAAACGGTTTCGGGACACCAATAATCGTGGCGTTCTCTTTCAGGTCGTCCAGCACGGGACTGTCGGTATACCCGACAATGTCTACGTCAAAACCTTGGCGGATCAAAGACTGCGCATGATACTGCATTCTTGGGCTCCGTCCTATGTCGCCCAAGACCACCACGCAGACGCTCTTCTTTCCCATTTTCGCTGTGGAATGGTAAGCGGTTACGACAGTTGCATGTCCACGCACAGCGTCCGGTGTACACGACGGATGATCGAAGCCGAAGGATTTCGACGCACCAGAAGTTAGAACGAATCCAACGTCGTTTTGTACTTAGTAGACAGGACTTAGGTACCTTGCGGATTGCAACGATCAAATTGAATGGTTCATATAGTAATCATCAGGTAAATTAAGTTAAATCACTTACATTAAAATATATTTTAAAGCATTAAACGTATTATTTATCGGAGTAATGGACAATTGTTCGAACTTCCGTTATCAGTTATCACTCATCGTTTCGAGTCCACGAATCGCGATAACGATGAGTAACGATCACGAATCACGATAACGATGTTGAGCACTCTCAGACGTTGTACAAAACGTTTTGCTTTCGAGTTTCGGTGTTCCCGTGTTACCGTCCTCTTATCGTTGGTTGTAAACTACGTAGATAATAACAGTATTCACAAATCACATTACACATTTCAGTGATTTCACAATTCACTGTTTTCAAGAGTATTTCAAATTTCATCTTATTGTACTCTCTTGCAGACTTCTTAATTGTTATTTCCTATTAATTGTTATTCATATAGGTACCAACAATAATAACAATAATAGTAATAATAACCCATAAATCATAATACACTAAAAAATACTCTTTTGTACAAAAGTGGTTTGAAATATTTATTATTGTTTTTTAAAGATATTTTTACTTATCTAGTATGTCTCTAAAGTGTTTTGTGGCTGGGTGTCATTCAGGTTAAAAATAAAAATAAAAAAAACAAAATAAAAAATGTCAACAGCAAGCGATGAAATGGCCCTTGGTATTTCATACTCCCGAGGTACAATATTTGCTATACTAATAACTATTATATTATAACCTAGGTATACTACTTATTCATTGAGAAGTTTTAATATTGTTTGATTCATTTTCATACAATATGTATAGGTACCCAGTGGCTGACTAAAATTGAATTTTAAATGACGTAATTTCATATTTAAGTATTTATCACGACCCTACAATATACTTTAATCTACATTATTTACTTATAAAAGAGTTAGGTATGATGTAAAAAAATAGCGCCAAAAGAGTTGGGGGTCAATGCTGGACCTTAGCATATACTTCGGCACAACTACCACCATTCCTTTGAAAATTAGACTCAGCAGCATCATAATTCGGCCACCAAATTTCTGCACGCCACTGTACAGCAAAAGTTGCAAGGTGTTTTTTTTTAAAAAAAATAGCAGCTTACATGTATAAATACTCTGGTGATCAGACATACTTTTTTTTATTGCATAGTCCAAAAAATATTTTAGTACCATGACCACATAATGTTTTTCCACCAAAATATGAATAAACCACTACAACAACTCTAGATTATTTATTTAAGACTCCTTCATTATATAAATAACATATTATTTATGAAAGAGGAGTAAAGTGTATTATGTAATATAAACTATTTTTTTAAATTATCAAAATAGGTTTATGATATTAAAACTTATTATGTGAAACTCGAGGTGAAACTAGAGATCATCAATGTGAAAATTTAGTTCTAAAATTGAAGAAAAATTAAAAAAAATAAATAAATCTATTTATTATTTATCTATATTTAATGAAAAATTCATATTAGGTTAATAATTCATTACTTTTTTTTCTTTTTAGAAAATGGTTGATACTTCAATACTTGGATTGGAATTCAAATTTTGTTAACAAATATAAATGGAGCTGCATTTTGTTTCTGAAGATATTATTTCATTTAGAATTTTTGAGGATACAGCAGGAAATGAAATACAATATAAGCTTAAGAATGTTATTATAAACCCAAATGCTATACCTTGTATTTTCCTTAAATTACCTTCTTCTTTCAACAAAAGCATAAAAACCGAAGACATACAACAGGAAAGTCAATAAATCCAAACAATTTCAAGAAGAATAAATCCAGTTCCATAAATGTAAGGCATTATACAATGCAATAACACATTCCTTTATTAATTTAAATAATACTTATTACATTTTTACAGACCGAATGAAACAATTGTTGGCCACGTCCGGAATAACAGAAAATTATAAAATTGAACCATTTAGATACAATTTTCATACTGATGCAAATAATATTAAACTACCAGGTTCAATGTGGGCTACAAATTTTTACTCATGATATCAGAGAAATTTCTAGTGATAAATGTATTATGTTTATAGTCCCCAGCATAGCTAAAGTAAGTATTTTAAAATTAAAAAAGTAAATTCATCACATTTAATATTTATCTATGGTCATAAGCTTAATGATATAGGTATTTATTTCAAAATTAATAGGTTATTAAATTTTTAATAGTTCATATAACAGGTACCTATATTTGTGCTCACATGCTGAGCGTTCCAAACTCAACCAGAAATTAAATCTTGCACACGCCTATGGTTATAAAGTGTCTTGGCAGAATTGTTAAATTTAAACATTGGAAATATTTAGTTGAATACAATGATTCTAATCACATAAAATTATGTTACAAATTAACTAAAGATCATGTTTTGTATCCACACATTTTCAAAAATGTAATTTTAAAATGGTTATAGTTTTAAAATGAAATAATACTTAAATATATACAACATATAGTCGATATATATCATATTTTATTGTTCTTTAGTAAAACATTAGCTGAGTGTGTGCAAGAACCGAGGATATGATATATTTAGAGACTATAGTTCAACTATTAGTTTTATTTGAAAAATATTTGATTTAATTAATAGGTAGTATGAATTTTAACTCTAAAAAATAAAGCTTGCAAGCAAACATGTAATTAGTACAGCAATAAAGTAAAAAATTACATTATTGTTATTACTTATTTGTATTTTATTTAATATTTGCTATTTTTTTTATTATAATTATTATTTTACAATAAATGTTGTGTTAAAGAAATTATATTAATTACCTATTTACTATTTTTATTATACTTTGTTTTTCATAGATTACCTATTGTGGATTTTATTGACTATTTAAATAAGGGGAAATCAGATATTCCAAACCAAAATTTTTGGTTTACTAGTCAGAAAGAAATAGAAAAGAATAATCTTACCTCATGACTAGGGCAGAGGACTTGTAGCATTTGCATATTTTTTTTGCACGGTCACAAAAGTAGCAGAGTGAGAAACAAATACGTTCCATGCTTCCACAAAGCTAGTTTTTAAAATTTATTGTGCATATAAATGCATATTTTGAAATTTTTTGGTTTTTAGGGCATATTTCTTTCATTTTATACTTTTAGTTGCATATTTTAAATAGTTTAACATTTTATCAATATTTTTAGTCGACGTTTAATTTATTTATTTTTAAAACCAAAATAACGTTGAATTTAAAATTTTTCTAAATTTTGATCAGTGCACGATCTTTCACCTTCTCCGGAACATATAATTACATGGTGGGGATTGTGGGTACAAGCCGAATGTTAGTATTGCGAACACCAATAAATATAAGCCACCATAAAAATAATTGAAGACGTTTTTCAAAATTAAATCAAGCACCTTGTACAGTGGGAAAAATTATTCAAGAGAACATGAATATTTTAGAGAAAAATAAAAGTTAACTAATATTGGCTCAAATGTCAAGAATTTTATCTGGTGAAGAAACTTCAATTTTAGTCAGAATACCTAAAATCTTGAGCCTTGGCGATTTAGAATATTTTAAATATGGTCCTATAAATTCCGTTGATGTTGAACGTTCTTTTTCAATGTTCAAAGTGCTGTTAGCTGACAATAGAAAAAGTTTTCAATTTGAAAATTTTAAAAAACATCTTATTGTTCAATGTAACTTCCAATGTACAAATGTGTGTTAATCTTAAATATTTGAAACAAAAATATTTTGTCAATTGTTTTTTAGTAGTTGAAGAAGTAGAAAGTTAAAAGTTTTGAAGATGTATCCAGATAAGAAAACCCAAATAATTAATTGTAACTTGTAAGTTGTTAAATAAAGTTGTAAATACAATTTATTCGTTAAAATAAATAATAATAGATAAGTACCTACAGAAAATTTTTATTTTTCGTTCAAAAATATTTATTATAAAATGCATATTTATAAAGCATAGATTTTATATTTAAGTGCATATTTGGTGATTTTTTAGAGCTACAAGTCCTCTGCCCTACTCATGACTAAGAGAATTAATCAAGATCAATTAGAGGTATGTATTGTAAAAGCCTTTATTTTGTTTTAATGAATGCTAATAAATATGTAATACGACTTTCATTCGCATTTATTAGGCTGTTTATGACAAACATGTGGTTGGTTCCAATCAGAATCCAGATCCAAGACAATTCATTCAAGTTTGTTGGTTATTATTAGTGATGGGAAACAATATAATTTGTGTATAAATATCGTTCCTATTTTGCCGATATTATATCACAATTATGTAAGCTATTGTAAGTTGTACTTTTAAAGCTCTACTAACTTTTGTAATAATGTGCAGTGATAAAACGAAAGTGAGAGTAAGATAGAACCTAGGTCTTAACACCAAATATATGTTTAAGTGGTGAGCCATTTAGAGAGAGGACTAAAAGTTATAATATGGCATTTACTATTAGGTAGACCTAATTTGATAATAACTTTAATTAATTTCCACTTCCAATATTAAAAACACTGATCTAATTCTGAAGTATACAGGAGTTCAGCAAGCAAGAATCATGGATTATCGAATCTAGAAGCAATAATGAACAGATATGCCTAAAATCTATGAATTAACTATATGTGATTGCTACGAATCCAACATCTAAAATTGTCTAATTAAGCTTTCTTGTGTGGGCTTTTCAAAATCAATATTTTCAAAACCAAGATTTAAGAACTGGCGTTGTGACATTTTAAATAATAAAAGGTTATTAGTTATTACTTATTTATATACAATTAGCAATTTAACATTTTAAAAGTGATACATTTTGTCCATTTTATCTGGTTGGGGTGTTTGGCGGTCCTTTAATGTAAAGATTTTGTAATTCCACCATA